GTAGTACAATATATTACTGATTTAAACAGTCAATAAATCAGTAATATATTGTACTACAATAGAACAGTCAACATTACAACAGTCAATAAATCAGTAATATATTGTACTACAATAGAACAGTCATGTCATCATAATAAATCAGTAATATATTGTACTACATTACAACAGTCATGTCATCATAATAAATCAGTAATATATTGTACTACAATAGCTGTTGTAATGTAGTACAATATATTACTGATTTATTATGATGACATGACTGTTCTATTGTAGTACAGTATATTACTGATTTATTGACTGTTGTTGACAAGCCTTACTGCCACAAAATATTTCTAGAATCATCGATAATATAAATATCCTACAGATCCACCTAGGGTACAACCAACCCATACATTATAGAGAAACCAATCGCAGGATAACAATCCCACACGTTTTCACAAACTCTACAAGAATCTACTTAACTATTCAGAGTCACAAAACATTGCACAATGTAAAGAAACCACTAAACCTGCCTGAAGTTCCTAAAAATTTTAACATTTATTATCACCAGAGACGCAATGAAAAGACACATACCCTCAGCGGGCAGTGTTTGTGAATTGTTTTGAGGATAAACGAAAGGGAGTGATTATATGTTAATTAAGGGGGTGGAGGGTAGCTAAAAGAAACCTGAAACGATATCTTCACATAATCCAGTAAATGTTCAAGCATTATAGCACCTGACTTTGGAAGGATAAGCCTTTAATGAAGTATCCCATGCACGTGAGAAAGAGAGAGTTTTTAGACTCATTGAAGGAATGCGACAACTCTTGTATAAATATAACTCACAAAGAATGACACTCACAAGAACATAGCCTCATTTATAGATAGAGTCTACAAATTACAGGTGAAAGCCTTCCTGGAATTGCTACAAGTGGACACTAAAGAAAGTTTCGACAGTATTTTGATCAAAGAGTTTTCATCAGAAGCCCTCTATTCACCACGTGTATGTACATGACTTCATTTGAAGAGTACAAAGTTAGGAGAAGGAACTGTGGTGAAGTTATAACAGGATCTGACCAGACACCAAACAAGGTAGAGAAAGAATCAGTTCTGTTATCAATAGATAATAATCTTCTAATATTATCTGGACGTTATAACAACAGGATCATGGCGTGGTGCCACGGTTCATTGGACCATCCATGAGATGTCCTCACAGAAGACAGTTCTCTAAACTATAAAACTTCAAACATTGAGCACCGAGAGAAAAAGAAAGAAAAGAAATGTTAAATAAGATGGTTCTTCTTCTTGTTAACTGGAAAACGTTCTAATTAAAAATCAAGCCTGGACACTGCAGTGTTAAGATACAATATGATAATCTTGAAATAGCTATAGAAATCCTCAGTAAGAACTTTAGTCACTAGTAGACAAAATATATATATTGTATTTGTTATTATAAGGCAATAAATAGTAATGTCACCGAGATAAGACACGTGATTTTTAAGTATCGTTTTTTAACTTCTGGGAGGTTTAACACTATCACTATTGTCGCTATGACCCCAGACAGAAGTAGATTTTAATCGGGATAGAGATACAAGTATTATTGGAATTATAACAATTATATATATGTTTCAGAAAATAGCGTACTGACCACAGTGTTAGAAACGTAGGTGACAGCAGCGAAATGCTAAAGTAAAATGTAATCATCATCTTTAGAATAACCAGTACCATGTAGCAACAGGAAGATTAACCAGTACCACGGAGCAACAGGAAGATTAACCAGTACCATGTAGCAACAGAAGACTAAACAGTACCATGTAGCAACAGAAGATTAACCAGTACCATGTAGCAACAGGAAGATTAACCAGTACCACGTAGCAACAGGAAGATTAACCAGTACCATGTAGCAACAGAAAGACTAAACAGTACCATGTAGCAACAGGAAGATTAACCTGTACCATGTAACAACAGGAAGATTAACCAGTACCATGTAGCAACAGAAAGTTTAACCAGTAACAGGAATATTAACCAGTACCATGTAGCAACAGAAATATTAACCAGTACCATGTAGCAACAGGAAGATTAACCAGTACCGTGTAGCAACAGTTAGAATAACCAGTACCATGTAGCAACAGGAAGACTAACCAGTACCATGTAGCAACAGGAAGATTAACCAGTACCGTGTAGCAACAGGAATGTTAACCAGTACCGTGTAACAACAGAAAGATTCACCAGTACCATGCAGCAACAGGAAGATTAACCAGTACCATGTAGCAACAGGAAGATTAACCAGTACCATGTAGCAACAGAAAGATTAACCAGTACCATGTAGCAACAGGAAGATTCACCAGTACCATGTTGCAACAGTTAGAATAACCAGTACCATGTAGCAACAGGAAGATTCATCAGTACCATGTTGCAACAGTTAGAATAACCAGTACCATGTAGTAACAGGAAGATTCACCAGTACCATGTAGCAACAGTTAGAATAACCAGTACCATGTAGTAACAGAAAGATTAACCAGTACCATGTAGCAACAGGAAGATTATGGTCCAAATTAAAAATCGTAAATACCAGTAACTATAAACAACGTTATTTAAAAATAAAAAGTCAGTAATAAATCGACTGCAGGAGCTTGGGACTAAACCTGCGGCAGTTCATTTCTGTATCAAATTGACTGAATTATGATTTCAGTATATTTCTCATCTATATATAGTTTTAACCAGAGAATAATTAGTAATAAGTCATACTTGATAATCCACCGAACGTAGCACCGCTTTAGCACTAGCATGATTTACAATGGCTTTTCAGAGACTTGACAATGAGGGCATCACAGGAAAGAAGTGCTCCATCTAGTTAACAACATAGATATACCTAGTACGTTGTAAGCAGACAAAGATTTTCCAAGAATACCCAAGATGAAACACATTCGTCTTATCATGTGAAGTTTGTTTTTTGTTTGTTTGTTTGTTTTTTGAATTTCGCGCAAAGCTACACGAGGGCTATCTGCGCTAGCCGTCCCTAATTTAGCAGTGTAAGACTAGACGGAAGGCAGCTAGTCATCACCACCCACCTCTAACTCTTGGGCTACTCTTTTACCGACGAATAATGAGATTGACCGTCATATTATAACGCCCCCCATGCCTGAAAGGGCGAGCATGTTTGGTGTGACGGGGATTCGAACCCGCGACCCGCAGATTGCGAGTCGAGCTCCCTAACCACCTGGTCTCGCCGGGCCCTTTTAAGATAAATTGTGTACAATTTTACGACTTTGTTATTAAACAAAAGGATATTTTGTTTGTTTGTTTTAGAGCAAAGTCACATTGGGCTATCTGTTGTGTCCATCGCTGGAAATCGACCCCGGATTTTAGCGTAAACATACCACTGTCCCACAGGACAAGACAATTTTTTTAAAAAAAGCTAAATCAAATAAAACGTACGACAAACAAATTTTAAGAGATTCAAAAAAGTTATCGAGTTTTTCATTTACAAATACCGTATTTTTCGGAATATAAGACGCACCATTATTTTGAAGACAAA